TAGATTTGGACATTACCATTATTGTCCATGATGTTTTTTTAATTGTTACACTGTTCAATTAATATGAAATAAAATGACACTACAGAAGTATTGTAAATGTGAATATAGAAGTCAAATCCAGTGTAAATTTAGAAGTATATTATTTTATATAAAACTAGAAATGTGTCCATAGGACACGGGTGCCCCCACCGCGCCACTGTTCTGTCAATCTTTTTACTAAGTCAAGGGAAATAACTCTACAAATACTGGATAAATCCACAAGCGAAACCCCAGGTGCAAATCTAAATATGCTGAGCAACCTGCCCATAAGGTTTAATGACTATGTCAAATCCTTTTTGAGTAACTTGCGACACAAGTTGAAAATTGCAAAAATTTTCTAAGTGAAGGGCAATAACTCTAAAAATACTAAATAAATCCAGACGAAAATACCTGGTGCACAACTGCACATGCTGATCAATATTCCTGTAAAGTTACATGACTCTAGGTCAAATACTTTTTGAGTTACGTGCGACACATGTTGAAAATTGCAAAAATTTTACTAAGTCAAGGGCAATAACTCCAAAAATACTAAAAATATCCACACGAAAATACCCAGGTGCACAACTACACATGCTGATCAACATTCCTGTAAAGTTTCATGACTCTAGGTCAAATACTTTTTGAGTTACATGCGACACAAGTTGAAAATTGCAAAATTTTACTAAGTCAAGGGCAATAACTCTGAAAATACTAAAAATATCCACATGAAAATACCCAGGTGCACAACTACACATGCTGATCAACATTCCTGTAAAGTTTCATGACTCTAGGTCAAATACTTTTTGAGTTACATGCGACACAAGTTGAAAATTGCAAAATTTTACTAAGTCAAGGGCAATAACTCTGAAAATACTAAAAATATCTTGACGAAAATACCCAGGTGCACAACTACACATGCTGATCAACATTCCTGTAAAGTTTCATGATTCTAGGTCAAATACTTTTTGAGTTACGTGCGACACAAAAGTGAACGAACGGACGGACGGACGGAAGGACGGACGGACGGACGGACAAGGGTAAATCTAAATGCCCGCCACTAACGTGGGGGCACAAAAACGTTTTGACTCCAGAAGTATGCAATAGTGAATGATTTATTTTAGTCGTTATAGTGGTATATTTACTAAAACTAAATTTTTCAATATTAATACAGTTTAAGTATTTTGAAATCTAAAGTCTGTGAGAATTATATATTAGAACGTGCACTAGTTGAGTCATTTAATTCTGAAAACCAATTTTGGAGAAAAAAAAAACATCATTTACTCTTTGTTTTACTGAACTAATAAATACATCTACATTGTCTACACCTTGAGATAACCATACATCATAAAAACCAAGTGACTGTAATAAATCTCTAACACTTCTAACCCATGTTTTGTTAGGTCTTACATGTAACTCTTTGTACAATAAATCATAAACTATTTTTACATATTTTACATCTTCAAGTTGTATATTTTGAAACAGTATTTTATTACACTTTCAATTCTTCTGCATTTCAAACTTGTTCTTCTCTGTTCTCCATAATATTAAATATAATAAAAATTGAAATGCACTTTTTCTAATTTACAACAGTCATATATATCGCTTTCCTGTGAAGCATAGTTCAAAATTGGTGAGATTTATTTATCAAAAAGGTCTAGTTTATGTTTCAAAGCTATACATGGGAATTTAATCAAATCTAGTTGTCATTTATATAATGCCTTCAAAGCCTGACCATACATAGTGGTTTAAAAGAAGAATTAAAAGATCCACCAGTTGTAAATACTACTCCTGAAAATATATTTGCATCACAGATGCCATGCATTTATCATGACTTAATAATTATTATTTATTCTCGGCTGATGCGATAAGTAAAACTTTCAAAGAGAAAATACCGGCACTTTTAAGATACGAACGATTCACAGACACTTTGTATGTGGAGCTCAAATGCGGCGTTAAAATCCAACTAAATTGTATATTTGTCAATCCCAGCACACATACTTGTCATATGTATCAATAAACCTTTATTTAAGCTGTTTTGAAAAAAAATCACATTTCAACCTCTACAACAATATTAGTGTAGACGGATAGACAAATATACGATTTATTTGGATTTTAATGCATTTTGAGCTTCGCATCCCTAGTGTCCGTGGAAAGATCCATAATCATTTCGACTGGCAGTTAAAGATATCAAAAAACATGCTCTTACAAGTTATTGTTAAACAGTATTGCCTCTCTCGTCATGATGTTTCTCAATAATAATGAAATGATTTTATACCAGGATATAAAATCAAATGAACACATTGTTTAAAATGTTATGATTGTAACATGTTCATTAAAGCAAGTTTAAAATCAAGATAATACGACCATAAAAATAAAAAATTTAATGTCATTCGAAAGGTGTTTATCAAGGTATGGCCGTAGTATAATGTTCTAGTTACAAACGACTATTGACTGTATCATGTTATACCTTGTTATGCATACAAAGTTTATTTTGCCTTTTGTGAAAATCTTATTTAAGACAAGTTAAGAGCTAAATTTAAATATTGTATATATATTGCGTGATTAAAATAACGCGGCGGGTATCTGAGGAAATATCCCCCATTATAAATAAATAGATCATATTTCAAAAATTCTTTACTTATTATATTATGTTACCGCTTATTAGTAAGCGTTAACAAAATTAAATTGGTCAAAGAACGCAACCACTTTAGTGTTTGAAATTATTTTACTAGATTAACTAGATTGAGAGGCTTTCAAAGACGATTTAAAAGTAAGACGTGTATAATACTGATATTCAATTTGTCAAAAAAAATACTGATCATGAACACAAAGGACATTTTATGAAAGATCGTGTTAACAATTGGCTTTTTTAATAAAAAATAGACATTAACAAACATTTTTGCCTTAATTGGTTTGAAAAACATATGCCTTTTTCAAGTTTTTAACACAAAATGGTGAAAATGAAGTGTTTTTTTTTTCATTGCAAAGTCATTGCAAAGATAGTGCAAGATAAAGTTATAAAATAAATGAAATACAACATGAAAGTAAAGCATAATAGTGGTAGGCAAGATTCTGGTAATGTAACATGATGTATATGTAACAAACTGGTCATGTAACATGATGGTAATTGAGATTATGGTAATGTAACATGGTGGTAATGTAACATGCTGGTAATGTAACATGATGTAAATGCATCAAACTGGTCATTTAACATGATGGTAATTGAAATGATGGTAATGTTACATGGTGGTAATGTAACATGGTGGTAATGTAACATGATGATGATGTCACATGGTGGTACTGTAACATGCTGGCAATGTAACATGATGTTTATGTAACATACTGGTAATGTATTATGATAGTAATTGAGATGAATGTAATGTAACATGGTGGTAATGTAACCTGATGGTAATGCAAGATGATGTTAATTAAGATGATGGTAGTGTAACGTTCTAGTAATGTAACATGATGGTAAAGTAACATGATGGTAATATATCATGATGGTAATGTCAGATGATGGTCATTTAGATGATGTAACATGATGGTAATGTAACATCCTGTTATTTAACATGATGGTAATGTAACATTGTGGTAATGTAACATGATGGTAATGTAACATACAGGTAACTGCAAAAGGATAGTAATGTAACATAAAGGAAATGTAAGATGATACTAATATAACATTATTATTACAAGATGACGGTAACGGCAAAAACTTGTTATGCAAGATGGTGGTAAGTATAACATAAAGATAATTCAAGATTATGGTAACGGTGCATGCTTGTAATGCAAGATGATGGAAATATTTTGTTAATAAATATTTATAAAACGTTACTATATGTAATATAGTATTATAGTTCGTTGAATAATATCAATCAGATATAAATAAAATGCGTAATCATACGGAGAAAAGAATCACAAAAGAAGTAATATGTATATTTGGAACTGGGTATCCAAATTAGATTTCCTTATACGTATGTAAAATGTTCAGTTTAAAACTTTACAAAAACAGATACGTTGTAAATTGATAGAGTTCAGTTTTAAAGGCAAATTAATGACAAAAATATCAAAATAGTCTTATATGTACTCAAATCACGCTAAAATGACATTTGTAAAAGTTACAGCATGAATTTCTGTATAAATTCTATGTATTTTGGGTTTGAAGCGTAAATATATCTATACTAGTATATGTTGAACGAAATTTAGACCCGACAGAATCAACAAGTAGTTTTAAAACTAGTCATGTGACTTGAACAAACCTTGGAATAATGATTGAAACAAATCTAATTCATTTATTTGACATGTTATTTAACGTTCCCAGAGTTCACTGTGACAACTATTATGAAATCTGGCTCGTCTTGACCTACAAAATATAAATTTTCCTTGATCTTGTTTCGTGTTTTGTCTTGATATAAAGAAAAACAAAGGCTTGTTAAAAGAAGGAAGTTAAAGTGTAAAACCAATGTTGACTATAATAGAAGCTTGCTAACTCTTTTGTTTTTCTAGTAATTCATTAGTTTTGAAATATTTAAAGTATGAAATGTATGCCGATGACTTCATATGCATGCAATTTTCTATAACGTGTCTATCACTAACAATATTTTAAGTGACATTTCATTCTTGTTAAATTCCCCCAATACCCTGCCAAACCTAAACTACTGTGAAATAGGACCAGGTACGCAATCCCTGAAATTACAACAGCTTGTTCAAGCTTGATAATAAAACAATCCTTTCTATAATGAATTATACCATTCTTGTCCTATTATTTGTGTCCGTTCATTGGACTATCAAGTGCTGGTTTTACAAAAACAAATAAATTAAACAAAAACAATAAAAACCATTGACTTGAATAATTATCTGTTGTATCAGCAGTTTTATTTTCAAATAAACTGGAGCAAATGGAAAAAATATCGGAAAATTTTAGATAGTAAATTGGGTTTCCTTATTCGTTATTTTTAGCAACGCTCTGGTTTTCCAGTTGCTACAAATATACTGACGCGTAAGTGAAAGACTATTTGTAGATATTCAGAATCAAAATTATTTAAACGCAAATGAAAATTAATTTATCAACCACTTTATTTTACAATTTGTTGTGTTAGATATGGCATATTATCCCGGTATTTATAACGGAATTGCAAAACATCCCGACTACATAACCCGTAAAGCAAGACGTGAAACGTTCGGAACCGACGAAGAGTTTTTCATAAGATTAGCAATATGCGGATTTTATGCTACAGGTATTTAATATAATATTATGAAATAAATTGATATTTGGAGCAGTTGTTTGAAAATTTAGCTCTGTTTAAATTTGGATCATTACAAAATGATTAAAAACATATAAGAGTTACACATACATGTATCTGGGTGCACTTTCAAACAAAATAATGATATTGAATGTTTATGGTTATAAATGTAACCAAAAAATCATGTTTTGGTAAATGTCTTGGTAGACAACGGTCTTTTACGGGAAAAAAATGCACTATTATTTTACAGAAGTCAGGCACAAGTTTTTATATGTAAAACATATAGCATGTTAATTTAAATAATTTTTAGAGCAGCAATTCTTTATAACCGTCCATAGATGACCACAGTATTATTTTACGACTTAAGATATTTAGAAGTCCGACAAAAGTTTCAAACCTTCCGTGCTTTTAACACTAGTAGTGTCAGAGAAAGTTCATATATATGAGATAAATAATATAGTTTATTAGTTTATTTCAGTCTCTTTCGTATGCATACATATATACATAAAACATATTAAAAATTGATAAAAAGTACATATGACCATTCTTCAAAAGAATTATAAGAGACTATATCATGTATATACTTATCATTATCCCTAAAATATGTTTATTTGTTATTGCAACCAATTTGTTATGCAAAATTTTCAAAGCAATACATTTAGACCGTAATTGTTATGAATATTCTGATTTCTCCCTTGCAGGATTAGACAGGATTAAGACAGTATCATTACTGGAATATGTAATAAGTGCTGTAATTGTTGGTATGATGGCTTTCCATAGATAGAGATGGTTTTAATAATAGCCAGGAGGGAGCATCTCAGAATCTCTAAAATAATGAAATAACTCAGCACCGTAATCCTGATTTGTGTTTGACAAAGGGCCATAGTTCTGTCAAAACCCATGCCAGATTATTGGATAGTGACCTACAATTTTGATAGACAGATTATATGTTTCAAATGAAAACCTGCGAAAAACTTTAACCTTCGATTAGCCGAGTTGAAAGGAAATAATCTATAAAAGCTGTTTTTATTGATTAAAGTAATACATTAAATGTATGCGCATTCAACAGTTACCGATACGGTCATGTCCTTGAAGTTATTTTTCATTATGAAAGTTTTGGAGTTTTAGGGGAATATTTAAGCCAACAATCTATGTAATATCAGTTACTATTTAGCGAAACAATAAAAATGACAGCTAATACAGAACGGAAAACCCTAATATCATCTGTACGTAAGATAAGATAAGATGAGATGATCTTTATGTAAAGTTGGTTACAATTTACATAATAACAATAGCTGTAAATCTATTTTCGGACATAACAGACTATCTTTTAACATTCAAACAAACAACCTGTATCAAAAAAGGTTAAAAGACTCTATTGTTTATCTATGATCAAAGCCTTAAAATATTTCAAGATCAATAAGCACAAATGGATGATCGATTACGAGCAAATATCACAATATAATACAAAAGACTAGAATGTATTTTTATGTACACTAAATATATAACTGTTTAATTTGTAAGGTGTAAAGCATTATCATTTAAGATCTATCTATCCGTTGGTCTTTTCCTATTCACTTGAGTTACAAAAGACAATAACATTGGAATGTAAACATATTGTAATTAAATAATTATAGGAGGTATTGATCGTGTCGTTTTGAAAAGACATTTGTGTTTAACTAATGATTTATGTAATTGACTCGTGACTTTGTAAAACAAATGGCATGTACACAATACATTATATCGTATATCGACTTCCCTCGAAACAAATGTTCATGTACAAGCATATTCATAAAAGGTATTTGTTTCAAGTGCACAATCTTGTCTCCTGTCGTAAATTATTATTTAATCAATTTTTATAAACTTAGCTCCGTTTTCATTTTTTCGAGTGTAAAAAATTCCATATCAAATCACAATTTACCAGAAGAGCAACGTGAATTCCCTTCCATATTTGTAAAATGGCGTTGAAAATGAAATACATATATTTTTTATTGTCCTTTGTATGAATTTATTAGACATGATATGGTTCATAAAGCCTGCAATTTTAATAGCAATTTTACGGATTAATCTGGTCAAGAAAACATTAACTTCATATTGTCTAAAAACTAGCAGTAAAATATGTCGTACGATATCAAAAGCCAGAACCGACTTTCTGTATGGATAAACCTATGTAAATATTAACAAGGTTAGCTTTCAAAAAAGCTAGTAGCGACTCGCTTCGTAATTTTTTTCAAGGGTGTGTTTAAATGTAAAAATGACAGTTCTGTTAGCTGAAGAGACTTCAGCGAACATCAAAATAAAAGTGAAGTCAACACTGGCCCGGTGCCCGATGGCCAGTGTATATAAGTTCAGGCCAGTGTAAATTTAAGAAAATTTTGTTAATTATTTAGTAGAATAAATTCAAAACTGGAATTCGGGCCAGTAAATTCAAAATCTTAAACTCATTGACTGAAAGTGACATATAAAGTTCTCTCAGTTTAACCAAGATGAGTATGAGTATATGTGAAGGTGCATGTAAACAGATTGAATGAAGAACCTATGTCTATGCACATTTACTATATGGCCTGTTGACCTTGACCACAAAAATGTTAGATAGGTAGATTTCATAAAGATGTCTCTTTATACAAAATTAAGTTGTTAAACATGCTTTATGTTATTTAGTATTGGAATGAGAGGCACAAGTCCTAAAGTAAACACTAAAGTAAAGTTGTCAATCAATTCAGCCAGAAAAGCCGGGATCCTATTAAAAATATAGGGATCCCAGAAATTGACCAGTCTATGAAGATGTTTTTCAGATAAGCCGGAATCCTATTAAAACATATAGGGATCCCGGGAATTGACCAGTTCAAGAATATAGTTTTCAGAAAAGCCGGGATCGTATTAAAATGTAAATAGATCTCACGGATTGGCCAGTTCAAGTATATAGTTTTCAGAAAAGCTGGGATCGTTTTAAAACATAGAGGGATCCCGGGATTTGACCAATTCAAGAAAATAGTCTTGGTTTTTCCAATTAATTAGGCATATAATTATAAGTATTGTGATTTCCGTATTTTAAGTTTGTGAATAAATAGCTGTAAATATATCTATATTCTAAGTTAAATTAATTTAACGTTCATTATATACAATAAAAAATTAACGTTTCATTACGACAACAATCAACACAAATATAGTTCATTAGGTTTTTCCTCCATATCTTATACGATCCCGGATCCCGGGCGTCCCGGATCCCGGCCAGTAAATACCTACACTAAATACCGAAAAGGATAAAATGACCGGAAAAAAGGAAAAATAAAAAATGCACTGAACCAGATGTACACTTATGTTAATTAACCAAACGAAAACTTACTACAGAGAAAACAGGTGAAATCGCTAAATCAGAAGTCAGTGTAAATATGATTTATTGAAAAGAACTCATAAAGACAAACATTTTAATCATCATTATATCTTTGCGCTCAAAACAATACTTGCTGATTTTTAAAAATGGCGTGAAAATTGAAGGTTTTTTGACGCTATGTAAGATTAAATTTGATTGGCTAAATAATTTTGGATCCTAGCCCTGATAGATAAATTGTGTAGAAAGCTGGAAGCCAAGCTTCGATTAATTTTTTGGATAGCTTCGGAGTTTTAGGTTGTTTCTCAGTAAAATCCTACCGTAATACCGGCTCGCCGTGGCGAGCCGGCAAAATACTAACTTATTCATGGTAAATAGTTAAATTCAACTCAAAATGAATTGCATGATACTGATAGTATTATTTATGAGAATATAGTATTATATATGAGAACAAAGATGATAGAAGAATAGGAAATATTCAAAACTTATTAATGCCTTTGCTTCTATATTAGTTATTCTTATGGACTGTATAAGTCCACTATGGGAATTATTAATCTTACTGTTTCAAAATTATACTACTTTTTGTCTGATTATCATAAACATAGCACCTGTTGATCAGGGTTTAAATATTTCTTTTAACATTATCATGAGAACTTGTAAATATTTTGTATAGGTTAAGAATGTGTATCTTTTAACATGTGTACAAAATCATTGCTTATCAGTTCCCCCCTGATCTAATCATGGATGATATCTGATTTTATAATGTTCTTTTTATACTGCGCACTAGAGCAACATTTACGAATATCAGGGTTTTTTTTTAGATTTCCATGTTTTATAGCAGTTTTGAAAGAAAGGATAAATAATGGTTTGGTATCTTTTACATGTACTATGTAAATATAGACAATTGCTAAATCTAATATGATATGAAGCCCTTCCTTTCTGACTTGACATTGTTGGTATCAATTTATACAAATGTTGTTTAACACAGGATTATGTAATGCCATTGGAAAATTAAGTGGTCAAAATTTTGCATCAATATTTCAATATGTAGCACTATCAATAGGTCTCTATGTTAGTTAAAGAAGTGAAAAGGTTATGCTTAACTTACTATCCAAAAAGAAGAGTGGAATGTTGTTTTTTTTCTTATCAACTATATGGTAGTATTGTAATACGTTTAAAACAATGAAAAGTGTCTCAATAAATATGTTTAGATTGGTTTTTTACTTGTAAATGTATTGTAATTTATGTTATGTATATTGTCATGTGATATGTAATATGAGACAATAAACTATATATAAACTTTAGTTATACTAGAAATAACAATGCTTTGTAAAATCGATGGTGTGAAATAAAAATGATTAAACGTTGTTGATTACAATACTGATATTATTGGACTGGTGAACAGCTGCAAACGCCTCGTTCAATATAGATTTGACAGCTGTAAACACGCCAAGTAAAATTGGTATGTTTAAACATATTTATTGAAGCTCGATTGTAAAACAAATATCTTAATCACAATTATTTTTTCTTTTTCTTTAAGGAACGTACGATTGTGTGAAATGCTTTTTCTGTGGAATCTGTTTTAGAGATCTGCCGCCTGATCAAAATATCTGGTTCCATCATGCAACAGATTCTCCAAAATGTGAATTTCTGAAGTTACACAAAGGAGAAAAGTTCATTGAGAAAGCACTATATCTTGCTGAACGTGATCCAACGGTAAGTGATATCAATCAACGACGCTTTCCACAGTAATGACCATATATGACTCAATGACGGCGATCAGTTGTCTCGCCCGAGTTCTTCAATCGAAAAACTTTGTTTAATTTTTTAAAAAGTATACATCCAAAATACTTGTATGAAATAAATATGGTAGTAAATTGCCTCAAAATGCACGAAATCATTGCTATATTGATAATACTGATAAAACCCTGAATAATATTTTGTTCTGTATCATTTTATTCTGCTTACGTACATTATTCATGTGTGTTAAATAACAAAGACATTCTTAGTTACAACTCTTTACAGAATCGTTCATCAAATTAAGGAACAATATATATATAATTTATTGTTGATAAATTTGATAAATAAATATTTTGTAAGATTATAGTTTCATGCCCTTTAAGTCATTTTCATATAACCAAAGTTTTTTTTACTTGTATTACATCGTATACATAGTTACCATTCCTAATAATCGGATTGAAAATTGTTTTTGTTTCATTGTAAACAGGAACTCGATGACGAGAAAGATCTGGAGTGCAATGATTCTGATCAAATGATAGAAGACCTGAATAGTAGGGCCTCGCAGATGATGATGGATAAAGGATATAAACAGAGTGAAGTTGAGCAGGCGATAATCAAAGCGAGAGAAAAACACGGTCAGTGAATTAATATATTCTTTAATTACAGACGATAATGTCTCCCATTGAAAGTAAAAGACATTTCAATTTGTTTAGTCACCTGACTGCAGATCGATGATGTGTGTGCGATTGACAATTTCTTCGATTTAGGCCTTTAAAACTGTTCCTGGGCTTGAATGTGCCTGCAGTAAAACGAAAATATAAAAGTAAAGATAAATATACAAAATTGAATATTTATTTTATTATTTCGAAAATATAGGAAACACACTGATACGCAGCAAACTGATAATGTTTTAACTTTATTTTTTATGCATTTTTTTTATTGGTTTTACGTCGAAGATCGTAAAGCATCTTTGGAGGAAGACCTAGTAGAACGACAGACATTTAACATCAATTGAACATTGCTATATGACATATATGAATATGCATTTTAAAATGCCTCGTCTGGTTTCAGGTTACGGAGAACTTAAAGTCACCGAGATCTTTGAGTGGTTGCTTGAAAATGAATCGATCAACAAACCAAGTAAAGTTTTCTCTACCGCACCCTCAACCGCTACATATCACGAAAGCCCGGCAACATCCTTCTCTGGTTTCTCAAAAATCATGGACACATCAGATTTTAATGGGGAATCATTTGATCCAGGTAAGCATACAAAAGCAAACCTTCTGTTGTTACCAAAAAGTAAAATAATTTCTTTCGTTTCTATAGGATTGTTCGGAAGACATTTACAATGTTGAATGTCAATGCTTTTTGTATATGATAGTTTTCTTTTATCAGTCATCAGACTTCCGAAATATCAAATTGAGAATGAAATTTAGATTGAGTAATTTGAACGGTTAGGAAGTTCTTTATTGAATCATTTTCAAACGGAAATGTGATTATTCATTAGTTTCGTCTTAAATTCTATTAAATGTTCAACTCAGATTCTTTTATAAAGACCGTTAATAATAAACTGTCCACACTAAAAGAAATCAGTACCAAAGTTTAATTTTAAAAATTACTGCTTCAAACTTGAAACTAAAATTTTGTGTCATGGTCAAAAATATCTTTTCGTCTCAAACGATCTTTTAATACATAACAAGAAATTTGATATTCTTAATATGAACTAACTTGTAAAGGCCTGTATTTATTCAATAATTTACAAGTTTGGAAAACTTCGTTAAGTTCCATGCTTCTTTGTTGCCTAAATCGCAATTTAGGTGACCTTTCAATAGCTTTTAGTAATAGTAGTTTGTAAAACATATGAATAGATGAAATAGGAGGATAGTCTTTAAGTGTTCAGATAAGATATGACAAAGTTTTCATAAGAATAAAATAAAATCATTATTAAAGTAAATAATAAATAAATAATAATAATAATAATAATAATAATAAATAATAAAAAAATAAATAATGATAAGAATATTTAAAAGTGTTATGTATGTTAACTTTGATAACTCTTGATTACAGAACATCGTCACCTTATAGAGGAAAACCGAACACTAAAAAGCAAAATGACCTGCAAGATATGCATGGACAAGGAATCATGTGTCTTGTTTCAGCCGTGTGGTCACATGGTCTCGTGCATGAGCTGTGCAAGCAGGTTAAAGACATGCGCAGTGTGCAGAGCTACAGTAACACAGACAGTTCGTACTTATACTGGTTAAACTGGAGTTTAATTACTTGATGAGGCTGGTTTACAGTCTTTGCTAAATTGGTAACAATGCATGGATATTTATTTATTCATGTAGACAAAATTATGAACGGTTAGAAAAATTACAGGTAGAATAAGTCGAAATTTCTATAAAATGAACATCATGTTCTTCAATGACACAATCCTAACTGGGAAACCAGTGCATACGTCGATGCTATATTTAGAAATAAACGGAATCCCAATACACATGTATAATACGTGTTTACCATATTTAAATTCGCTCTCTTCTCGGCTACTGTAACTTACTGTATATGGTGTGTTATCTTAAGATCCTTTTTAAAGTAATATTTTCCTTGATTATATCTCGTGTGAAAGTTATAATGAAACTTAAGAAGGAAATAAACCCTATTTTGAATACAATAGAGATTACTTTTGAAATATTTAAAGATTGAAAACTTTTTTATAGATTACAATAATTTTGATTCCATATAAATGACATTTAATCGCTGTTATAACCCTATCCCCCAAAAGCCCCTTGTGGTCACTAAGAAAAATAACAAGATCAGGATCAAATGATCCAAACAAAATGGAAAAAATAATGGTTTGCAAAGAAAACCCTTTAATTTGGAATAAAATTGACAAGTGTAATCAGATCAAAATTAGGATCAATTTTATGATTAAGATGAGTATTTGGATTAACTGTAAAATACAAATATCTTGTAAAATAAAATATTTAATGTTTATTCTAAAATTTCATTAACATCCTATTTCAAGTCCAATTTTATCAAGTTGATATATAAGTAAAAACAATGGAAAGTATTTGAGTTTTTTAATTTGATCCTTAAATCATAGTGAACACGAGGCCAGGTAATGCACAGAACCTCCAGGTATGCCATTTTTGATACCTATCAACGCAATCTAGAAATGGCGAAAGGCTGAATATCCATTCATACTTGCTAAGTTTTTTTTTTGTTGTTTCTGTTTTCTGTTTTGTTTCTGTCTTTTTGTTCCTGTTTTTTGCTTTGTATTTGTTGTGTGTTTGTTTTCTTTGTTGTTGTTGTTTAAATCATAGAATTGCTCTTACTAAATAATGAATGTCATCACATGTATAGCTTATAATTATGTGTAGAATCTGATGAAAACATACCAAGATCAGAAAGAATATGTAAATCATGTATGAGACAACCTGAAACAGAGTATCATTTTCTGTTAGTCTGTTCACGTTATAGATAATTGAGGAAAAAGTTTTTTTAACCCTATTTTTTCATTGGCCTCTGTTATCAAATTTGATGGCCTAATGTCTTCTAATTCAAAGAAAACTATATGTGCTTAATCTAAATTTATTTACTTAGCAAATAGACGACGTGTTTCATAATATTTCTTTTAATAATAACTGAAAATGAAATGTATTTGAAGAGGTTTGCGTTTGCATGTATATTTTTCCAAAAAAACTAACTTGCAACAGTGAACATTACTTTAAATCTATAGGCCTTTAGTGTTCTTCATGTCTTTATATTTCAGAAAATGATAGAATAAGTTGAGTGCAGACTTTTAAGAATATTTAGGTTGGCGTATTTTTATTTGAAACTTATACATGCAAGCGCAACATATTAAATATTAAACAGAATATTCCATAAATCATCTTTATGTTTGCTGTAAAATTCATGTTTGGATCTCCTAAAATTTTATATAATATTATTCAATTTATACTTTTTATAAGCATTATGTTATGCTTTATGCAAATAAACGTTTCGTATTCGTATTCGTTTTTTTAGGGTGACGGGGGCGGGTGGGGGTAGTAAGGCCCCAAAGATATCCCCGTTCTTTGGCTCCGTCATATGACTAATAAACAGTCGTTCGCAACTCGAGCATATTATTAAAATTAACAAAGTAATAGCATTTTCATGTAAAGAAGGCGACTTAATATCTATTTAGCAAAATACTGATTGTGAGTTTTGTAACAGGGTTAAAAATAGACAATTGGATTGAGCGATAAATAAATATTGATGTGACACTTCTGGATTCCTGTTTTCACTAAAGTCATACTACATCAAATCTTACCATTTATAATATGGCCATACAGCTGACAATATGTCCTTTTGGTAAAAAAAAAAACATGTACGCTGACACATTGTATTTCAGAATGTAAAATAAATAATGAATTTACATGTCTACCAACATGTACGATTAAATTTATTAGAGCAAATGTCAGTATAGATAAAACCGCACATTTATATAAGCACCTATAGGAATAGAAATATTTACGAGTTCCACACCGTCACTCACACATTAAAATACATTATAATGGAGTTTTATGACAAATTAAACGGTTAGGTTTTATTTTAAATTTAATTCCGTGATGCATTACAAATAGGCCTACAATAAATCCATTTATAGGCAGCTGAAATCCGGTAAGAAAGTAAAACAACAATTGAAACTCAAGACACATTTCTGTATATATATATATTTTTAAAATGTTAAAAAGAGCCAAATGTATGTTCAATCTCTTAATGCCTCAATTTTCTTCGACACACATTCAACTATGTCATTTTGGCAGAATTATTTCAAATGTGTAAGCTTTTTGCTAGGAAGTTTTACTCATCAAGTAAACGAATGTGCCTGAAATACAGCACAGGGGCTTTTATGATTTTCTTCCATCAGTTAATAATGTATAAGTTATCGCTCGCACGTGTCTCAAAAAGTGTCAAAGTGACTTAAATATATGTATTTCATTTGTAATTTTTCCTTGCACGGAGAGATAAATTTCAATGGATATAAAATACTATTCATTGATAAGTTTATATAAGAAGTGTTCTTTAAAAGCAGGTTACAGTCTGAGAAAATATATCGGAATGTTTCAATAAGGTAAAAGCATTCTGATCTTGTAAGTGTGTGAAAATTAAACAGACAAAAGCTGCATGTTGTCCTTTTAGACGACATACCGCTATGCTCTTGTGAAACAGATGCAAGAACAAATCTAATATTGTAATGGTTCTATTCTATGTATGGTTAAGTATACAAATGAAAATGCGAGATGTGCAGGCTGATATTGAGCCTGCTGAGGTATTTGTCTCACCCATACCATGATCTTAAAGCTGAAGGGTTGCTAGGAGGGCGTGGGCGGTAGCAAGTTTGAAAAAAAGCGAACCTGTACCACTTTTGTCATCATTTCTGCCATTTCGGGTCTTCGCCCCTCAAAAGTCGAAGGCAAAAACAAGGTAATATGCCCAATCAGTGTGTCTTCACATTCGGCTATAGAGGGCGACACAAAGACACGGTGTATTTTAGGCGAAATGGCGATATTTTAATAGGCGAAAGGCAAAGACACGATATTTACCGTGTCTTAGAATGGGTTACGGAGGATGCATTTTGTGTATATCGAAAGACAGTCAATGTGCATCTCATTTTTATTTTATACAAGTCGTTTATAGTTTATTTAAAAAATTTTAATTGTTTATGTTAAAATCTAATTCAAACCTTTGTCCCCGTGAAGATAGCGCAGGAATTTTACAAATAATAAAGCGGAATCTGTAATATATTAACATCGTAGTTTATCTAAAATACGGTACCCAGGTTGGCAAGAATGATCCTGAAAAATGAACGTTTTCCTTTATATCATTTATAATAAGTGTTAAAAGTATAGTATCTTACCAGTCGTATGGGCTATTTCAATCTGATTTACTATATATTATTATATATTTACTATATATATTGCTCCCGTTGCTCGTTACATTTATTGCACAGCTTCGGCTTTAATGTTGAACAATTCCTGCGCTATTTTCACAATCCTACATTACGGGATAAACACACAGTGTTCATTCTTGACTTTTTTATTCTCATTTCATTTATTTTTATTATCAAATTTCATAAAATGGCAAAGAAATTTCCAAAACATTTTCTTACATACAAATTACACTGTACTGTCAAAAGACAAACAAAGCGTCATATATATTGTTTATTACGTTCCTGCGGCCCAATGAGTACATTTTAACGCTTTTAACAGGAAACTTTCAGCGCCTTCCTGTTAAATTTCTAACGCTGTCACGTAAGCCAGACAGTTATGCAACCTCAAAGCTACAGAGAAGTAATCGGTAAAATTATCCGACAGCCTTGTCGGAAATATTGTCTCGTACTTCTGATGGTAAATAGTTGATATAGAATTGAAAACAACGATCAGTGAAATATGGCCATCAAGAGTTTTTAGTGTTTTATCATTTACTTTATTTGCGTCTATTTCACTCGTATATGTTTTATATTTTAGTGTTATATATTTTAGTTCCATTTTTATAATAACTATTTATCCTTAGAGCAGTTGTAGTTCCACGAAAAAGAGAGTAGTATTGCTTCTTACTATCAAAGACCTGCGAACAATATAATGATGTATTGATTTGGGCAAATTAAACACTAGCCGGTTTCTAGTTCAAATAATGTTAATACATGTATTTGGTAACTGGGTCAGTGCTATCTTTATATGTCTAACATGGCGCCACTGAAATAGCTCTTGCTGTATGCAGCGATACTGATTTTCGTCAAAAAACACATTTAAAATACTTGTATCCCGTGCTCAGATGATAGGTATCACAGGTTCACAGGAATAAGCCTAAAAAATTGCGATTAAATGTTAAAACAGAATTCCTATCATTTTATGTAGGCAATGAATAAAAATCTATTACAACGTCGTGGAAAATAAAAAAAATATTTATTCTAGTTGAATTCGCATTAGAAAGCAAAGAAACAATGCGGATAGAATTACTCTCAATAATATCAAAATACATGTAGATATGTATCTATCCAAAGGGAAATTCAACAATCAAAATTTTTCAACTCAATATTGCTTGCAGTGCTTTGATAGCGTTTGTATTTTTCTTACTTAAGTGAGATGTGTCATAGACGCTCGCATCGTTAACATCGATACAAATCGTCTGCTGTTGACTTATTTGCCTGAATCAACAAACTGTCATGACATGTAATTTAATTATTTGGATAATTCCTGTCACGTATGTTATTAAAAGGAGATAACTTCGTGCAGAATAGTGGATATGAGCCGCGTCACGACAAAACCAACACAGTCCGTTTGCGACCAGCAAGGCAGCATGGATCCAGACCAGCCTGCGCATCCGCGCAGTCTGATGAGGATCCATGCTGTTCGCTTACAAACTCTATTACAAGTAGAGAAAGTGATAGCGAACAGCATGGATCCTGATCAGACTGCGCGGATGCGCAGGCTGCTCTGGATCCATGCTGGTCGCAAACGCAGTACGTTGGTTTTGTCTTGACGCGGCTCATATGTGTCTTCTTTTTGTATAGCTCTCAAACGTCTCGTTTCACGCACCATGGCATGACAACTAAAACTGATTATTTTCATATGAATTTTACATGTCCTTTTTGTGCCATTTAATGATACACGAATGTAAAATTGGTTACGATGGGGATTAGTCCAATACTATTTCGTTCAGCAATGCCCAACTTTTTCCAAACATATCAAATATGACGCCAAACTACGCCTCACAAGAGGAACGTATTTTTCTTGTCATTTATTTTTCTTCTCATCATCATCGTTAAATATCATATTGCCCGAATCAGTTCAAAATTACAAAGTTATGATGAGGTTTAATAACTCTTACCGAGCAAAATATCTTAAATGGATTTGCCAATCTTTCAATCTTGAGAAAACCATATATTATTTTTGGGGGGAAATTTCAAAATAGGTACCGACTGAACACTGCCGGCTGATCTTGGCCTGCACTTGTCGCACGGGATAGAATCAGTTGCCGCCAATAGGCTAAGGGAACAGAATGTTATGAAGAGGGAAATTATATTCAGTAACATGGATGCTTACGTTAATATAGCTGGCAGCATTCAGTAAACGACGGATTTTATGGAAGATACGCTTGGCCGCGGTATTAACTTAATTTTCTTACGTTTACAATTATTCAACCAAATAAGGAGCAAATGTTTTGTGTAAAACCCGAATACTTCTTCAACTAAATAAGGGCACTGTCAAAGTATATTTCCTGGTTCGGGAAATGAAATGAACATGGTTCTCGTAAATTCATTTAGCTCTTTGACAACTGTCTTCAGATATCTTTTTTAATTTGTGAGGGGGGGTGGGGGTTAGATGTCGATATAATTTTTAAAATCTCTACTTTGTCGGGCGAATTCAAATTAGCTTTTTAAATGAATCTTTTATGACATCATCAGATAATTTTTGAAATTGCGCAAAAAATCTACACCACAGGTTTTTTATTGCACCGAAACTGTAATGGTCCCAGTTTTATTGGAGGCGAAATGCCTCATGCAGGTCATTATTTAAGGCAGAGCTAGCACACCCGCATTGGAGAGAAAATGATTCAAAATCAATAAATGTAATCATAAACAGTTCTTTTACAATGGCCTAAACTTAAGACGTAAAAAAATGTTAAAAATAACAATTTACTTGTATCTATTTATAGTTATGATCAACATAGCTAAATACGCAATAACTTCACTATTTTTGTGTCACTTAGACAAGTTTATATTCAACCTATTATAGCACTAGTCTGGTATGTCATAAACTACCTGGGTGTTAAAAACTTTACATTCCGCCACCTTTAATCAGATCTGAAGACAACACCGTTTTCAGATCAAATGAATTTCTTTATTATTATTATTATTATTATTATTTGCTGTATTAAATAACGAATGAAAACAAATTCTTTCACTGGGTGCATTTTAAATCTGTTCTATTTCAACAACTTTTTTCTTCTTATCACTAGGTGCATTTATAACTGTTCTATATGAACATTTTTTTCAAAATCAGCATCCTCCCCACGTCAGTCTGGCCACGTGATCAGTTTTTCTCTTTGTTGGTTTAACAAATCCAAGGAACTGTAGCTGCGACACTGCCTGTATGAAACGTGCCCTGATAATGTGGGTTAAGGAAAATAGTAATGATAATTCTACAATGATATATAACTTCTTTGTGTGCAAATGGGGTTGGGGGATAAGTTACACCTTAATGATTTTACGACTTCATTCATCAAAAGACTGTAAAGTGAATTGGTCTATAACGGGAGGTCTGTAATACATTAAATAATTATGTTTGACAGTATCTTATATCATAAAAAACAACATACATACGAAAGAATTATACATGGATGTTGTAGGCAAATGTGAGATACAAATGTACATGATCCGATATTACATATACTTAAAGAGTAGATAATATAGTGTTCTAGACCAGAATAATATTATACATCATATAAATGTTCATATTAAATCATTTAGAACTTTATCAACATATTTTCTTTACACAATATTCTTTAGGAATATCAAAATTTTTATAGTTTTAATCAATGTTTGAAATACTTATGGAAAATGTGCCCATTGTAGACCAATTCACTTTAAGTGTCCTGTGCATTTTTTCACTCTCGATGCTATCCTTCGTTTTATCCATAATATTTCTATAATTAATTCAACCTTGAAATCATAAAATCCTTGCCACACATATGTGTAAAGTCTTAAACATTCTCTTGCTTTCTTACTGTTGTCCAACAGTTTATAGTTTATTTATTCAATCATGGCATATTACAACCATATTTTAATTTACAGTTCGACTAAAAGCAAATCGGCTGATATACATGTACTATTTTAGTCATATAATAGTTACATCACCAAATAAAATGTATCATATAACATATATATCTGCTAGTTAACAATGTCACAGTTTTAATTTACTTTAATTGCTCAAATAACTTTACAGAACTAACAAGGTCCTAGACATTTCTGTCAACATTGTTAAAAGATTCAAACCTAAAAAGCTGAAAAGTTCAGACCAAATGCTTTCCACACTCTGTGATAACTGGACTTTTAGCTAAAATCATATGTTCAGGACCATCAAAAGGTAGGTCAAACCAGGCAACGGTTATAACAAAATCTAGAGTAAGTTAGTTAGGCAAGGATACTGTAGTTCTTGAGCCGACTCTTTAGATACATCATCATCATCATCTGGTTGAACAACGGTTAAATATGCCTGAAAAATAAGTAACATAGCCACTAAAATCTCCTGTATTTCCTATCTATGATCTAAACATTTAACGATATCTAAAGTAGCTTAAATTTATCAAAACAAAGATTTCCTATCTATGATGTAAACATTTAACGATATCTAAAGTAGCTTAAATTTATCAAAACAAAGAAGACATGGGAATGATAAATTAATCATTCAAAGTAGAAAATTGTCTTTGACAGCCTGCATTAAAACTACACTAAAAATAGAAACATTTCAGAATTTGTATGCTAAACTTTAATCAAGAATTTATGAAGTTCACCAAGGGGTAAAATTCAATATAAAATCCACACTAAAGTTATTAGTCTTCAATAGTGACCTGCATGTACAACTATTATTCCAGTTACAATTCTAAAGTTTAATTTAAATAACTTCAATGTTAAATGCGATTGATAAGTGCAAATTAAACATCCAGCATTATTGAAGCAGGCCCAGTGTTCCTGAAAATTTAAGGATCAGCGTCAAATTTAAAAACTCAAACATTCTCAATAATTTATCTTCATAGATTAAATATTTAACATTAACTGAATAAATCTGGGCTTGAAATAGCATGTTTATGAAATTTTAGAATAAATATATTGTAATATTTGCAACATAAGGATTTTTTTCAAAAATTGATCTTGATTGAAAAAAATCGATCCTCATTTGGATCTGGTTATTTTTGTATGTTTTTTTATTTATTGATTTTATTCCAAAATAGGTTGGTTGTTTCTTTGCCAATCAGCAATTGTTTACATTTTGAATATGTACCATTTAATTCTAGCAAAATACAATCAATTTTAGTTTTAATGTAAATAAAATCAGGATCATTTGATCCCGATATTTTCTTAGTGATCACCGACCAGGCTTATACATGTATTAGTAAGGGGCCAGGCTTATATTAAAAAGACATACATGTATACCCATTTATATTCAAAGTTAAGCTAACAGAACTATAATTTTACCTGCATCCAGTCATACAGATTTATGAGCTGCCCACACTCCAGGTGTAGTTTATATATTATACATGTATCTGGCATCATGCATTTGATCTGACCAGATTCTGTCATACAACACTCGCACTGAAATGTTAAATGTCTGTTTGTATACAAGTCAAATCTCAATACAATTGTGCAGTTTTTAGACTTCACAAAATAGTGGCAAAACACAAACACTTGTATACTCTACAAGATGTAAATCCTATTCTGCTAAAATCTTTAACATCCAGATGCTGGCTAGGCATGTTACAGAGCATCTACAATTTTTTTTATAGTGTCAATATTGGAGTTTACTTATGTTATATAACTGGACTTTTTGTCAGACAAATGTAGTTGAGTCCCATCTATGACAACAAAGCTTTAATATTGACAGGGGCAAGATTTACCTCATGATATAACCCTTACAATTCTAATTTCTTAAATGGACCTGTCCATTTTTCAATTTTCACCAAAGAAAATCATTTTTGTTGTAAATTTATACAGACTGAATAGAAAAAAGTGCAGACTATAACCATTGGTCTGTGCTGGTGGCATTGTAGTAGTCAATCGGCACCGGTAGGCTAAAGGTTAAGACACATGTAAGAACTGGTATTAACCTAGCTGCGTAACTACCTCAAATGTGCAAATCATAAGCTTTTATGTCACAAGTCTTCAACACTAGCCAATAGAGCTTCTTCTTTCAGTAAGAACTTTATCATCAATTGTTTAATACATAACCATAAATCTAAATTCAAGTACAAACACAATTGGTCCAACAGCAAAATTGAAACCATACTAAATGTTCTTCAACAAAATCTGAAACAACTAAGGATTGCTGGCCCCATGGGTTCAAACCATGTCAGGGACAATCCATTGTTTACGTGAGCAAAAAACTTTACAGTCATTGTTTGGTACTGGCTGGTTTTCAGGAACAGGTTCTAATGTTTTAATTAGCTTATAGCTTCTAACACAATCAAACTGAAATAAATTTATATAAACTAACAATTAATAGCGAAAAGATAAAGATCAATTCTGTTTACCTGTAGATAATAGTGTGGGTTACTGAGAGCCATTTGTAAAGCGGATCTCGGTGCGGCGTTGAGACATTGTTTAATGGTACGGGATGAATTATAGTAGAATATCTCGTGTAGAGGTACATTCAGAGGACATATCAAGTATTTTCTGCAAATAAATCACAAGCATTACTTAAGATAAGCATCATAAAAAAGATTCATGCAATATATGGTACAAGTTTTTCTCTACATGTACCTGCCATCTGTCCAATCAAACATTTGTGGTCAATAAGTTGAAACATATGCAGTTGAACATATGTATTATATTTATTATTTCTTTCACCAAATTATAAAGGAGAAGATGTGATAAATGTATAAATTTAAACTTAACCAGATGAGGTTCAAATCAGTATAAATTTACCCCTGTTTCACACAATATCTTTATTTACCATTCTTTTTTGTTTACACAAATATTTAAATTTATGTTTACACAAATCTTTTGTTACAATGTACTGAATCACTTGTTACACAATATCAAACAGTTACACAATATATAAGCTGTAAAAAATCTTTATATGAAATTGATATTTCTGCACAATTGTTTTATTGGATTCAAATTAAATACAAACCATAAATTTCCAGTAGCTAATACATAAATATAATATAATAATATAAACTTCAAGACTGTCCAATGAATACTTACATAACAACATGCAGTATTAAAAAACAATGAATATAAGAGCAGTTACCTAAATAAAGCATCAAAATGATCAACAATTTCTTCTCTAAGCTTCTCATATGGAGACAACTTCTTTTGTTGTTTACTAATGTCTTGAAGTCTCTGCAAATCATAAAAATTTATGTTAAAAGAGTAAAGAAACTTAGTTCATGAATTTGTTTGTTTCATTTTACGCCTTTTTCCAACAGTATTTCAGTCATATAGGCGGGTAGTTTCCTAACCTTCTTTCCTGGAGAGTTACACCAGTACTAGACTACCTTCCTCTGCGCTAAACAACCAAAGCATCTCCCAGAGATCGACGCACGCCAGAGAGGTAACTGGATTAGAAGTCATCAACTCTAACCAATTGACCAAGGAGGCGGTACATAAAATATAAGCAGTTAATTTGTTCATTCTTCAGGTTATATCAGATGAAATATCATGATCAAACCTTATCTCAAATCCACAAACAAATTGTAATTTAACAAGAGCTGTCGGTAGGACAGCAACGCTCGACTATTCTTAGTGCTTGATAGTAAAAGAGCCTTGATAATGTAAAATTTTCAGAGTTAATAACAAAAGGACAAAATTTTTCTTTAAATCCATGTTAAAGTTATAGGCCTTGGACAGAGTCCTATTATGTTCCCAAAGTATAAAATATCAACTTGTTTCAATAGAATATGAAAATATCTGAGGTGGAATGCAAACCTATAAGTAAATTCTAAGTTGAAAAAGGGGTATAATTCTGTCAAAATGCTTGATACAGTTACCTCCTCCTGTCTACAGGTTGGGGTTATAATGGTGAACAAGTGTGCAAAGTTTCAAAGCCATATGTCAATGGACTTTGAAAATATTTGAGGTATTACAAAAACTTAAAACATAAATTCTAAGTCGAAAAAGGGGCATAATTCTGTCAAAATGCTGGATACAGTTACCTCCTCCTGTCTACAGGTTGGGGTCATGATGGTGAACATGTGTGCAAAGTTTCAAAGCCATATGTCAATGGACTTTGAAAATATTTGAGATATTACAAAAACTTTAACATAAATTCTAAGTCAAAAAGGGGCATAATTTTGTCAATATTGTAGGCAGAGTTATCCAACTTGTCAATCTGATGTACCTTGTTACTATAAATAAGTATTGTAAGTTTCAATTGAATATCTCAAGCAATAATTGAGATAATTGACTTTACAAAAAACTTTAACCAAAATTTCTAAGTCAAAAAGGGGCATAATTCTGTCAATATTGTAGGTAGAGTTATCCAACTTGTCAATCTGATGTACCTAGTTACTATAAATAAGTATTGTAAGTTTCAATTGAATATCTCAAGCAATAATTGAGATATTTGACTTTACAAAAAACTTTAACCAACGCAGACGCCGACGCGGACGCTGACGCCGACGCCGGGGCGACTACAATAGCTCTCATATTCTTCGAATAGTCGAGCTAAAAACTAAAAATGCTATTTATTATCACCATCACCATCACCACCACCACCATCATCATTATCATCAAAATCATCATCATCAAAATTATTCTTAATGCTGGACATCAAATATCATAAGACATTTCAACTCGAGCACTATCTCATAGAAACAAACATGTGGTTATGCCAGGACTCAAACTTCAGAATCCAAGGAATAAAGGCCATGATTTACCACTCAACCTATAAAGCTAGTTAAACAAGTGTTATAACAATAGAGATTCTGGAAAACTGATGATCCCTAGGGAGAAATGAAAACAGGATATAAATCAGTGAAAATCACAGATCAAGTCTAAATAAATTTTTCCAATGAGTCGAACAGTTTGTTTGTTTCTTTGTTTTGTTGGCTTTTAAGTCACCCTGACACTGTTAATGTCAGTAAGCAACTTTCCAACTGGTTGAAGAAGATCTCAGGTATACCTTTGTACATTAATTTGGGCACAAGCGGACACTAAGTAGAACCACAGATGTTCAGTAAAGCTGGTTTGATAACTTAAATGAAAGAATCAAAATTGCTAATGGGATTTGAACCCCCAGCGGTGCGAGGTTAGAGATTTTAAGAGTAAGCAATAATTTTATATATAAGTAAGATTTACCAAACAATATAATTCATAATGCATTTCTACAAAAGAACCCTACATACTTGTCTAAGTTGATGTAATGAGGTCCTGGAAGGTAAATTAGTGTCAGCTGGTTCTTTATTCTCCTCGTCCACCTCCTCAACAATATCTAAATATAGAAAATCCTTCATATTACAGTGGTATAAGGAAATTTTTTAGGTCATTGTTCATGGCCAATTATTTAAAAATTCAACCAATTGATGCCCTCAAGTAATTAAATAATGTTTATACAAGGTAGGTATATATAGGAAGCATTGGATCTACGAAAATTTTTACTTACTACTTTATCTGTTTCATCTAGAGATTGATTTGTATTGAAATATATTTTGTTTGATAGGTTTTGTTCTTGTCTTTTGTCAATAAATTTCGTGTACATGTTTACAATGTGTATAGTGTCTTTGCCATAAGTTGAAAATATTGTAAATGGCCAAACGCAAATTATAGCCGATTGCCAATAAACTGAACTGAAATGAACTGACAATTTTAGCTTCATATTTCAAGTCACTTCTCTGCAACCTAAGATCAGTAATATAGTGAACAAGTATAATATTTGAGAAAGTTGTGGCTAGTTTAAAGTGCGACATTTGCCATATCTACAAATGTCATAAACTCATTTCCTTACTGAACACTTTTAACTTGAAGTTAAATATTTTTTATCCCTGACTTACTATCAATATTGTCTATTTTGTTGAGCTGTTCCTCCATTTCTTTAAGCACAATAGAAAGACGTTCTTCTGTTGCTAGGATACCGCAACACTGTTGTAATAAACTTCCCAATTCATCTTTAGATAACATTCTGAAACAAGGGGGTATATTATATGAAAAACCAACTCAGCATTTAGTATCATAACAAGAGCTGTTGGTAGGACAGCAACGCAAGACTATTCTTAGTGCTTGATAGTAAAAGAGCCTTGATAATGTAAAATTTTCTAAGTTAACAAAATGGCCAAATTTTCCTTTAGATCTATAATTCTGTCAAAATGCTTGATACAGTTATCTTCTCCTGTCTGCAGGTTGGAGTCATGATGGTGAACAAGTGAGCAAAGTTTCAAAGCCATATGTTAATGGACTTTGAAAATTATTGAAGTATTAAAAAACTTTAACATAAGTGGTTATGCCGACGCCGACACAGACGCCGACGCTCAGGTAACTACAATAGCTCTACTTATTCTCATTGAATAGTCGAGCTAAAAATAACCAAATACCGATAACCAACTGTTTGAATATGAATTTCTATCTTATACTTTTTATCATTATTTGAAATGTTTAATTAATTGAATCTATCATTTTTCAGTATTCATGAACATAAACATACATAAATACACCTTTTTCAAAGCAATCAGTTCATGACAAAATTCAGTACTCGTAAATATAAATTAAATTGACTTTACAATTTTAAATTCATACAAAATAGTTTAAATCATGGTCAAAAATCAATATTTTCATGCTATTATCAATCATTTAAAAGGTACCCACTGACTTAATACTCCCATACTGACATGGTTTGTTTGGATTTTACGTCGCACCGACACAGTATAGGTCATATGGCGACGTTCCAGCTTTACTGGTGGAGGAAGACCTCAGGTGCCCTTCCGTGCATTATTTCAGGCACGAACAGGCACACGAGTAGAACCACCGACGTTCCGTAAGCTAGCTTGATAGCTTCTTCACATGAAAGAATCCAAAGTCCCTGTTGGGATTCGAACCACAGCGGTGAGAGGCAAGTGGTTTGAAGTTAACGACTTTAACCACTTGGCCACGGACGCCCCTACTGACATGGTAAATTTTTGATAACATTCTAGACTTTAAGTTGGAGGAAAATCTCCGGTATATTTCAGGCACAAGCGGCCACCTAATTAGAACAATCCATCCAACTTTAGTCTTATTTTCAGTTTATAACATACATATATGACACAATGTGTTGAATTAACATCATGTTGAAAAAAAAAGATTTTGCTCTAGATATGTACGAAAGCTGAAACTTACTTGAGTAAATCTTTCGCCTGTTTATAGTCCTCCGTATCATACACATTTGTCTGTAGAGTCACCGAATATACTTCTCTAACCTGAAAAGACAACATAAACTTTGCTTTATTATATAAATTTCAAAAGTTAGTATTATGACCAAAGAAGTGGAAATGCAACTAATGGATTTTATAAAACTGCATGTTTGTAACGTTGCTTTTCATGGATAATCGTGACGTTTATATAGTTTTATATACACGTGTGCCCTCAATTTATGAAAAATCATATTTTTTCCTCAAAAAAGGAAGTTCGCTGTATTATAAATTTTTTATAAAGATTTTTGACAGGCTATATGACCGTATATTAACAGTTGTTTGCAATATAACTTTCGCCTAGCAGATCAGGTTATATATACAAACAACAGTTGATATAGGGCCATATAACCTGTCAAAAATCTTTATAACTGATAATGTATTGAAATCTTTAATGTTGAAAAATGATAAACATATATATCAGTGTCATTTTATCTCCTTCCATTATTCATATTTTCAGCTTGTCTGTCAAACGTGATGTCAATAAATCTTATGACATCATGAAAATTATTTCTTCTCTCAGTGTAATTTAACAGGTTTTTTTATTGTTCTCTTTTTCTATTTCATTAAGAATGGAAATAGATATTATTCTTGTATAATTGCAGGGTGCTTTGTTATTAATTACTCAGGCAAAATGACCTTAATGATTATATAACCTCGCAAATTAAAGCATACATACAAACTAATTTAGCATGAAGTATGAGAGCAAATCATAACTTGGGTTAGTCAATATAAGATATACTAATTACCTGTTTGCCAAGGGGATAACCTGGTAATTTGCACACTAAAGTATGTAGACATTTCAAAATGGGAAAGAAATCTGTTTGATAGTCATGTATACCATGTATCAACTCCACGATCCTGTCCTGTGAAAATAATTCTAAATTTTACACACATATATCATAATATAAATATGAAAATAAAAAGTAATATGGGGCATTCCATGGCTTATTGGTTAAGGTTGACTTCAAACCACTTGCCCCTTAACTGCTGTGGGTTCGAATACCTGACAGGGCCTTTGAATTCTTTCATATGTGGAAGCTATCCAGCTAAATTCCCAAACGTCAGTGGTTGTACTCATGTGCCCATTAGTGCCTGAAATCATGTATGGAATGGGGCATTCAAGGTCTTCCTCCACCAGTAAAGCTGGAAAGTCACCATATGACTTATATTGAGTTGGTGCAACATAAAACCAAAACTAGAAATGTGTCCATAGGACACGGGTGCCCCCACCGCGCCACTGTTCTGTCAATCTTTTTACTAAGTCAAGGGAAATAACTCTACAAATACTGGATAAATCCACAAGCGAAACCCCAGGTGCAAATCTAAATATGCTGAGCAACCTGCCCATAAGGTTTAATGACTATGTCAAATCCTTTTTCAGTAACTTGAGACACAAGTTGAAAATTGCAAAAATTTTCTAAGTGAGGGGCAATAACTCTAAAAATACTAAATAAATCCAGACGAAAATACCTGGTGCACAACTGCACATGCTGATCAATATTCCTGTAAAGTTACATGACTCTAGGTCAAATACTTTTTGAGTTACTTGCGACACATGTTGAAAATTGCAAAATTTTACTAAGTCAAGGGCAATAACTCTGAAAATACTAAAAATATCCAGACGAAAATACCCAGGTGCACAACTACACATGCTGATCAACATTCCTGTAAAGTTTCATGACTCTAGGTCAAATACTTTTTGAGTTACATGCGACACAAGTTGAAAATTGCAAAATTTTACTAAGTCAAGGGCAATAACTCTGAAAATACTAAAAATATCCACACGAAAATACCCAAGTGCACAACAACACATGCTGATCAACATTCCTGTAAAGTTTCATGACTCTAGGTCAAATACTTTTTGAGTTACATGCGACACAAGTTGAAAATTGGAAAATTTTACTAAGTCAAGGGCAATAACTCTGAAAATACTAAAAATATCCACACGAAAATACCCAGGTGCACAACAACACATGCTGATCAACATTCCTGTAAAATTTCATGACTCTAGGTCAAATACTTTTTGAGTTACATGCGACACAAGTTGAAAATTGCAAAATTTTACTAAGTCAAGGGCAATAACTCTAAAAACACTAAAAATATCCAGAAGAAAAAACACAGGTGTACAACTACACATGCTGATCAACATTCCTGTAAAGTTTCATGACTCTAGGTCAAATACTTTTTGAGTTACGTGCGACACAAGTTGAAAATTGCAAAATTTTACTAAGTCAAGGGCAATAACTCTGAAAATACTAAAAATATCCAGACGAAAATACCCAGGTGCACAACTACACATGCTGATCAACATTCCTGTAAAGTTTCATGACTCTAGGTCAAATACTTTTTGAGTTACGTGCGACACAAAAGTGAACGGACGGACGGAAGGACGGACGGAAGGACAAGGGTAAATCTAAATGCCCGCCACTAATGTGGGGGCACAAAAAAAACAAAAAACATCAATTTTTAGACTATTTTAGATGAGGAAAGATTCTGTCTACTTAATTGATGATGGCAAAATGTTAAAAACATTCATATTTTGATCTATGAACTATTCTTTCCATCAAAAGCAGGCATGCAAATATCTAAACCTGGCCAACATAATATCATTTAGGCAAATTCGTCAAAAATATTATCAGCGCAAATATTGTATTAACAAAAAAATAAATAAATAAAAATTGATTCAAATTTGCAACCTGTACACAGAAATCGTGGTGTTTTTTTTACCTGACCTAATGACATTTTTTTTTTTTACCTTCACTGACTCAAAGTTTGAAATTTGAATTTTTGGAACAGCATAAATGCATGTAATACAGCTAAAGTAGTTGCAGACAAAATTTATATATTTACCTTAGTAAATGAGTCCTTTAATAAAAGATCTGGTTGTTCTTTAACACTACATTTCTCTACATACCTGAAATGAAAAAAAAAAAAAGAATAAAATTACCTTATCTGAAACATACAGAATCCACAGTATGTCCTATATTTAAAATGTTTAAAAAATGTTATCATGAACTTAAAATAGTAACTGATTTGACAAAATATATCCATCAGTAACCTGCAGATGTCCTTAAAAGTGATTGGAAATGTTTTCCTGTGATGCTTTAAACAACTTGTAAATGACTGGAGTTTTCTACAAACTGTCTGATTAGCAGGTCATAGATGACAAGGACATCTCAAAACACTAGTATATACCTCACATGCCCTTGAAGAGTTCTATACACACATTTATACCTCTTAAATATTCAATATTTCTAAACTTTAATAACCAACACCTGAATACCTTATAAATGATAAGCATAAAAACCTCATGAAAGATTAACACTTGTACATATTTCGCAAACGATTTACACTCATACATACCTCATAAATGATAAACCCTGATGAATATCTTATAAATGACACTCATAAATGATAAACCCTCAAAATAAATATCTCATAAATGATAAACACTCATATCTCATTAAAATACTTGTAAATACCTTATCAATAATAAACACTCATGAATACATCATTAATGATCAACACTAAAAAAATACCTCATAAATGATTTAAGATGACGAAGTTGTTCTACATCAGCACTATCCATTGTCTTCACCACAGACTCCACATTATTTAATGGACAGCATAGAAAACTCAAAGACTGAGTCATATAGTGGTCCATCATTGCAAACTGTGTTAAAAATAAGATTGTAAATTAATAAAATGAGAAACTTAAAAGTTCATCTTTTCACTGTCTTTCAACACTGTTTTAAACAATTCATGTGGAGAAGTTGGCAATTACATGTTCTCGAGGGAAAAACAATTTTTTACTAATAAATAATCTAGAAACACTTTGCTTGTTAAGAAATACAGACACAGTTGCCATCACTAACAAAACAAGATATGTTTGTAAAACATGTATGCCCCCTATCAGCAGCCAATTAGTCATGTGATAAGGTTATTGTGCATGACTTCTGACCCCAAGTGATCAAACAATTAATAAAGGGTTATCAAGTATCTACTGGTCATGACCTTGACCTTTGACCCCCTTGAACCCAAAACTCAATAGGGGTCATCTGCTGGTCACGACCAATCATCATACAAAGTTTAAAGTTCCTAGGCCAAAAAGCGTTTTTAGTTAATTGATCAGAAACCGTTTTAACATACAAGGTCAATGTGACCTTGACCTTTGACCCCAAAATCAATAGGGGTCATTTGCTGGTCATGACCAATCACCATGCCCAAGTTTGAAGTTCCTAGCCGTCACCAAAAAAAAAAAGCGTTCTCTAGTTATTGATCAGCAAAACCGTTTTTACTTACAAGGTCAATGTGACCTTGACCTTTGACCCCTTGATCCCCAAAATCAATAGGGGTAAACTGCTGGTCATGACAAATCACCATACCAAGTTTGAAGTTCCTAAAGGCCTGAGCGTTCTTAAAGTTATTGATCAGAAACCGTTTTTACTTACAAGGTCAATGTGACCTTGACCTTTGACCCCTTGACCCAAAACTCAATAGGGGTCATCTGCTGGTCACGACCAATCATCATATAAAAGTTTTGAAGTTTCCTAGGCCTTTGCGTTTTTAGTTAATTGATCAGAAACTGCGTTTTTTACCTACAAGGTCAATGTGACCTTGACCTTTGACCCCTTGACGCCCAAAATCAATAGGGGTCATCTATGGTTCATGACCAATCACCATACCAAGTTTGAAGTTTCTAGGCCTAAGGGTTCTTTAGTTATCATCGGGAAAACCGTTTTTACCAAAAAGGTCAATGTGACCTTTGACCTTTTGACCCCTTGACCCCCAAAATCAATAGGGTCATCTACTGATCATGACCAATCACCATACCAAGGATTGAAGTTCCTAGGGCCTTAAGGTTCTTTAGTTATTCAATGTGACTTGACCTTTCGGAAACCTAAGGTTTTTGCTTACAAAGGTCAATGTGACCTTGACCTTTGACCCCTTGACCCCAAAATCAATAGGTCATCTACTGGTCATGACCAAATCACCATACCAAGTTTGAAGTTTCTAGGCCTAAGGGGTTCTTTAGTCCATCACTGATTTATTCGAACTCGGAAAACCGTTTTTTACCCAAAGGTCAATGTGACCTTTCGGACCTTTTTGACCCCTTGACCCTTGACCCCAAAAATCAATAGGGGTCATCTCGAAACTGATCATGACCAATCACCATACCATAAGTTTGAAGTTCCTTAGGCCTTGAACTAAAAGGTTCTTTAGTATTTGATCGGAAACCGTTTTTGCTTACAAGGTCAATGTGACCTTGACCTTTGACCCCTTGACCCCAAAATCAATAGGGGTCACGGCGTTTTTTTTCTACTGTGACCTTGACGCTTTGACACCTTGACACCCAAAATCATAGGGGTCATCTCCATGTACCAATCACCATACCAAGTTTGAAGTTTCTAGGCCTAAGGGTTCTTTAGTTATCACTCGGAAACCCGTTTTTACCCAAAAGGTCAATGTGACCTTGACCTTTGACCCCTTGACCCCAAAATCAATAGGGGTCCATCTACTGATCATGACCAATCACCATACCAAGTTTTGAAAGTTCCTAGGCCTTAAGGTTCTTTAGTTATTGATCGGAAACCGTTTTTTGCTTACAAGGTCAATGTGACCTTGACCTTTGACCCCTTGACCCCAAAATCAATAGGGGTCATCTACTGGTCATGACCAATCACCATACCAAGTTTGAAGTTCCTAGGCCTAAGGGTTCTTTAGTTATCACTCGGAAACCGTTTTTACCCAAAGGTCAATGTGACCCTTGACCTTTGACCCCTTGACCCCCAAAATCAATAGGGGTCATCTACTGATCATGACCAAATCACCATACCAAGTTTGAAGTTCCTAGGCCTTAAGGTTTTTCTTTAGTTATTGATGGGAAACCGTTTTTTGCTTCCAAGGTCAATGTGACCTTGACCTTTGAAACCCCTTGAACCCCAAAATCAATTAGGGGTCATCTACTGGTCATGACCATCACCATACCCAAGTTTGAAGTTTCTAGGCCTAAGGGTTCTTTAGTTATAACTCGGAAACCCGTTTTTACCCAAAAAGGTCAATGTGACCTTGAACCTTTGACCCCTTGACCCCAAAATCAATAGGGGTCATCTTACTGATCATGACCAACACCATACCAAGTTTGAAGTTTCCTAGGCCTTACTAAAGGTTCTTTAGTTATTGATCGGAAACCGTTTTTGCTTTAAACAAGGTCCAAATGTGACCTTGCCTTTGACCCCTTGACCCCAAAATCAATAGGGGTCATCTACTGGTCATGACCAATCACCATACCAAGTTTGAAGTTCCTAGGCCTAAGGGTTCTTTAGTTATCACTCGGAAACCATTTGGTCTACGGACCGACAAGTGCAAAGCAATATACCCCCTATTCTTCGAAATGGGGGCATAACAATAAACTAATCTCTACATCCAGAATATGTTTGCTTGAGTTTTTGGATTTCAAGTCACATCAACACTTTAAAGAGGTGATACATGTATTAATAATGACTTCCCAGCTTTACTAGTGGAGGAATTCCTCACATGCCCTCCTCAGTGTATTATTTCAGACACAAGCTGGCATCTGAGTAGAACCATCAACGTTCCATCATATAGATGAAAAGCTTCCTCAGATAAAAGAATCTAAATTTTCCTGCTTGGATCGGGCGAGGGGCAAGAGGTTGGAATACAGCAACCTTAACCAATCATCCATGTAATTTCCCCATGTCTTCAGTTAACTGTGCCCTAACTGCATGTTTAATGATTTGATTCAAAAGTGAAAGATTCTGCAACAGAACACTAGAAGGAACTTACCCTTAGAGCCTGATTAAAGTTGAGGCACAGAGAAGTCATGGTACAGGAAAATATCTAATAGCAAGCTGGAACACCGCCTTGACCTAACTTGAACGGGTAATTTTCTGTATCAAAATCTAAAGGAAAAATGTGTAACAAAATAATTTACGAATATCATATATGTTCAAGTAGGTTTTATATGTCTTTTCTACCCTTCGAACACCTCTAAAATTTGTTTTGCAATAATGCTTTTAAAATTGTGAGGTTTTAGAGCAATCATGTAGAAGTTACCACTTTAAGTTTTCATCTGATTGTTGATCCTGACTACCCTGTGCCACTTGTACAGCGCCAGCACCATTTAAGGCTTGTAATTGATTAAACTCTAATTACTTGCAATCGAAAATGACTTCAATAACTTCATTTCATTTGATGTAGGGGTGATGCATGTTATAAATAGCATTAACTAGTTAATTTACTTTATTTTTCTTAAGTTAAAAATAGCATTAATTAAATAGTTAATTTCTTTCATTTTTCTAAACCGTTTGAACCATGAACATTTGGCAATATTAAGACAGCATTCCCAACCACACTCATATGCCTTAAGCATTCCCAACATGAAATACATTGCATTCATATATATCTTATTTCAAAATAAACACTTATGTCACCCTTGCCCAAACCTCCCTAACCCCTATTTAAATATTCTAGTGGGAACAATGATTGTAATATTATTAAGTCAGAAAAGTAATATAACTACAAAGTCACCTTATTTATAGCCAGAGAGAGATATTCACTTGATGGTGGAGCCTGGAATTTCTCCATACACAATAGTGATGATACCTCATTTGGCAGCAGACGATGAATGGCCGAGACAGATGTAGCTATCCCAAATATGAAAACTAATGGCACTTCATTGATGTAATTACTGAAATATGATACTAAGCACACTGAAAAGTTTATAAAGATAATACATTTGGTACACAAAGATAGAATACTGAATATGATACACAACAGAAGTATATGTACACTAAAATGTGATACACAGAGTAAAATGACATATCATATAGAATGTAAATATACTGATTGGACCAAATCTCATATGAAGAAAGTAGTTGTTTTCACAATCAAGAAACTTTAAACTCATTCTTAGAACTGGTTTATTTACAGAACAGATTCAAAAGTGTCTCTTAAAGCTTATATCTTCCTACATAATCAAACTAAAATAAATTCTGTATACTGATACTGGTATACAATGAGAGTACATACCAGATACACAAAGAATGTGTACTGAAATATGGTATACAAAGAGAATACACTGAATGCTTTTACTAAGAATGATCAAATTTAATAGCCTCAGCTAAGCCATGTTTCTTGTTCAAATCTGATCTAAATAGAAAAGTTATGTAAAAATCACCTGGCAATTTTTATGAAGTCCCTGAATAACTCTCGGTACAAAGTTTTCAAAGTCTTCCATCACAAACAACAACTGGAGGGTACGTTGCCATGGCAACAGGTGTTCCGTCTGTAGATTTGCGCTTCTTTGGTGATGACAAACTTTTGGCTTTCTGAAAAAGCAAGACATTGCAGTTGAAACATTTGACAAAACAAACCATCAAGTAAGTACACTGGCAGCCCATTATAACATGGCTCGTTATAATGCTAACCTAAATATTACACACAAAGCTCGAGAAACCTCTAAAATACCAGACGCATTCCAAAAGCAATACATTCTCCTCAATAAGCTTTTCAAAAGAACCAGTATAAGAGACAAATATCTCTTTTTAACCCTACTTGTCTTCAGATTAATAAATATATTCCAACTTACTACAAAATAACAAAAACAGTTTCAATTTATAACAATCATTTTGTAACAAGAACAAAAACATTGTTAACTTCACTTAACAAAAACACAAAAAATTCTTGACATTTACTCCATATTGCGAGCATTTTTAAATATTCAAGAAGTAAGTTAAATGTTTTAGATAAACAAAAAATATGAGAAGACAGACATCTGACTTACCATTACTTTATTTCTGTACCATTTTGACAATGTGGCAAGGGTCAAAGGTAAAGATTTTGAGTTCAGTTCCGCATCTTCATTATCAACCACATCATCATCCTAAAAAGAAAATGCCAAGAAGTCAATGTTACTTTAAAGTGAATTGGTCTACAGTGGAAGGTCTGTTATACAACAAATAATTTTGTTGATAGTATTTAGTATCAGAAATAACAACAAACCATGAAAGACATAGTACATTAATGATGCTGTTAAGTATGATAGCAGATAATAAAATGTTCTAGATAAAAATGTTATTATTCATCATATAAATGTTCACATTAAATCACTTAGTAATACTTTTTCAGAATATTCAAGTGAAACATATATATTTGGAAAGCTTTTGGACAATATGCCTATTGTAGACCAATCCACTTTAAGTAATCCATATAATTAGGCTCAGAATCAGAGCTGTGATTCTGCTTTCTTCTTAAAGGGACCCCACTGAGGATTTTTGACATGACAGGACTAGAAATATTTTGATGTAAGCCTGGACCAATAGCATGTGTGCAAATTTTCAGATCATTGCCCCACATAATTTTTTTCAGAATGATCTTTTTCATTGTCCAAAGTGACCCAGAAATGAATAGCCTTTCCTTATTATCCTTTGCAGATTTTTTTTCCATTTTCAGTGCTTCACTTCATCTATGCAAGAATGAATTTTTTTATGTTTTAGGCTTGTTCAACTCATTGGCTTAGGTAACCAAAATACAAAAATTATTCTATTGGGCATTGTATTGTTTTGGCTAGAAGACTAATGGTGATCTTTGTGGGAAGGGAAACACTTTGTTATCATAGGCCCTACACCATTATGTGAACAATATCAAAACAACACATTTGAATCATACTATGTACTGTTTATCCAGTAGTTGACTCAGAGTCCTACTAAGAATACTTTTCACATTCTGGCAGTCTTTGGACTTGAGGATAGCAACTTGTGGTGTAACTCTCTCACGCAACATAACAATCAGGTTGTTGAACATCGTACTGTGATCAGGCGTGTTCACACCTGCAAAATGGGAGATAAAAGTGAAAACACTGAAAAATTAAAACATTTTGCCCTCAACCCTTAAACACTAGCATATTTATTTTATTTATATACTTTATTCTTACTTAATTATATACCTGAAAGGTCATTTTCAATTGGAAAAAAAATACATACTATATGTAATGATTTTTAAGTATTTAACACTTTCTATTGCTTTTTATGACACCACAAGCATATACTGATGTTATTATTGTTATATTTATATGCCTTTCCTTAAAGAATAATAATTTTGTTCAGATTCTATTTCAGCATTTTACAACAAGAAAAAAATTCTTTTGTTTGGCTCTGCTTTTTTTTTTTTTTTTTTTTTTTTGCACAATAAAACAAATGCAAAACAAGCAATACAAGTAATAGCAACACATGGGGAGGCAACTTTTTGCTAACCCCCGAGACAAAAGCAGTAGCACATAAATAATGGGAGACTACTCTTACAACCTGTAACAAGGCAGCTGCAGGTAATTTCATCAATTGCATTATTGAAACATTTATCTTCTAGCGAGAATTTTTCATGACATGTCTGGGTGAAGTTCAGCAATTCTTCAAATATATTACAGTTGAAATCAGCTTTGCAGAATCTGTAAACAAATTTATACAAGATTATGGAAACAACCTTATTCTACCATCTACCATCTACAAACTTTTTTTAAAAACATCCACAAGAATTATAGCTTTATACCTTTAATAGTTTTACAAATTAGGCAAGTAAGGCTTGTAAATAATTGTAAATTTAGAATTTTTAATTAGCTCAAGAGAAAAATCTACTAGTTTTTGGCTGTTGGGCTATTACTAATTTCAGTGTTCTTACAAAATGAAAAAAATAGCTTCATCCCTTCAGAGATAGTGCCTTTCTGACTATTTACCTGATTATCACCATAAACTAAGGTTTCAGGGCATGAACAGGCAACATATTGAATAAGTACCTGAATTTTGCATATCTATCTCCTTCCCACATTTGAAACAAAATGTTGTTATGACACAGCCGTGACCGTTGGTCTTGTCAGTTGGCAAATAGTCATCTGAAATATTTAAATCTCACAAGATGGGTATAAATCAACTTATTATACTGGTACTAAACTTTTTACAATTTAACCCTTAAACAAAAAGTGATTACCCCTTGCCACCAGCATAGAGCCAGGCCAGCCTGTACACCTGTGCAGTCTGATATAGCTCTATACTGTTGGTAGATCAAATTTTTTGAATTTTGATTTTAGAAAATCCCTTCAATCTTCAAATGGACTGTTCTAAATTCAAAGCAGGGCCAAATCCAATATTCCTAATTCATTATTCAGCAGGTTTAATACACAAATTAACACCGCATCATGACCAAAACTGATAAGCCTTCCCTAGTACAATTCCTAATCATTTCATCCTTCCAAATAATCAAGCTGAAAAAACTGTGTGAAGCAAACGTAGCAATTCCTTTAAAAAAAAAAATGTTAATTTTATCAAGGGTTTATTGTTGAGACTTGAGTAGCTTTAATGCACATTGTTCAAGGCATATGAATAGTTGTTAGACTTAAATAATTAAACTTTTGACAACAAAGTACCCTCAACAAAGTACCCTATCACTTCAATAGACTGACCTTCAGCTTCAACATGCATTTTATCTTTTACAAATACATGTATTGAAGTATTACACAGCCAATGAATGTCGGATAATTTAAATTGGCGTTCATTTATATAAAACAGGAACAAGTAGATTCCACAGGACGTGGCTTTAATATCTAAGGGCATACCTATATTTGCATTTTTCTTCTTTCCTTTGAAAACAAAACAACCCTGAAACAGAGAAAATAAATATTTATTACCCGAATACAGTACCAAAAAAAGCAAAGTCTCAGTACCTGTAATTTCTTCTTCATTTGTTTTTCCTTTTTTATTTCTAAGACTTATCATGACTCACCCTTCAAAGCTTTGCCTACTTTTCATATTATTTTTTAGGCCGAGCTAACCATTGCAGGTCATTAACTTAAATTTTATTTTTTTTGTATTATTTATATGAAATGATATTTTAATTTGTTAAAAACTGTTATTTTATATATATGTATATCCTTTTTATGTAACTGTGATCTATGTTGTTGCAAAAAAAAAATGTTTCCTTAACTTATAAATTATTACTTGACTTTATCCAGCGTAGGGCCGCAAAATCAGAAAAAATCTCTTATAACCCCATCAAGGTCTGACACCCAATAATTATTTTCCGGTATGACAGTATGTTTAATTTTTTCTCATAACTTTATCAGTTTCTGTTTTTTTTAAACGAATTCAAAGTTGGTCAACTTGGTGAATATTACCACACAGTATCTGGTACTCAAAAAAATGATATTGTGGTGCTCACGGACCTTGGTTCGAAGATAGGCTGAGTACGTGAGTATATGCTTCATAACCCTCGATTGGCTGTAACCCCTGACGGCAAAGGGCCCAATTGGGAATCTGGGTGATTCCTCCAGAAGCAGCCATTGGTGCTGCAGGCAACATTGACTAGGTGAAACTAATCCGTTCATTAGACAGGCATATTAGTGCATCCGGACCTGGTATACAGACATCTAGATAGGTAAGTCATTTACTTATCTTGTGGTAGGTTCTACAATGGTGGCAGCGGTAATTTGAGTACCAGTTTTGCCAGTAAAAAATCGCTACCTGCAAAACAGCTGATTTTAGGTGAGGCATTTTTGTAAACCTAAAATAATCGAACCTTGTGTCTGTTAACAGGTGTAATTGGTCTTAAGACAATTGCATTTATTTCATAAGGCACTTTTACGTGTAATTTTTGGATAATTGAGATAATTATTCGAATTTGGCGGATTTTTTCCGTGGAGACACCAAAGGAAATAGCCAACCGGTGTTCAGTGTGAAATCACCAAGTCAGTTTTGTGCTTTTGTTCTGCCATCGTATTTTATTAGATTTAACATTAATTTAATAGAGTAATTTGTTTATTTTTTGATAAATAAGTTTTGTTGTTGTTTTCTTGTAATTGGTACACAAGTAATTGAACCATGTCACTGCAAGATGACTCAATATCCATGGCGGACATAGCATCAATTAAGGATGAGTCTGCTGCAGGGTCTCAAGGACCTGTAGCGGTCAAATTCGGTGATATTGACAGGCTGATGCTGATTCCTGGAATCAGTAAAAAGTTAGCTATAGCCCTGATATCAGTGAGGGAAAATAGTGGCAATATCACGCCCGAGATTTTGTCTGTCATTTGTCAGAAAACTTTTTCTTCAGATGAGTTAGCGCTTATTGACTTTACGTCAAATAAGTCTTGGACTTTTGCAGAGGAAGTGGGGTTAACAGAAGCCAGTAAAGGGCTTTCCCAAAAGAGAAGAGAGGATGTAGCTTCTCGACTTATGACACAAGGTCTAGAAAAGGATAGTCAAGGTCGGGAACCTACATCAGGTGAGGGTACGTCATATGGGGATCTATACACTAGTATGAGACCACCCCCTAGGAAGGTTGAATATGATTTCTCTCTTGAGAGGGAACAAAATCTTAGGCGCAGGCTAGAGGACCATTATACCCCAAGGGGTGGTCATGGTGAGGCCGAAATTGGTAATCGATCAAACGTGGGGTGGTATGAGGCTGAACATAAAAGGTGTCAGCCCAGCTTGTTAATTGATACGTTAAAATCATTACCAAGGCACCTGACGTTTCATGGGGTAGGCTCCTGGAAAGCTTTCATTTTGAAGTTTAACAGGTTTGCCGAGGCCTCTAATTGGTCAAGAGGAGAAAAGCTTAGATGGTCTTTTTGCTGGTGTTTGACAGGAAAGGCCATGGAGTACTTTGTCATTTTGAATGACACAGAAGAGGTATAGACTCATATAGGAGTCTATATGCTTAATGCTGGAAGCGCGGTATGGGCAACCATGATTTTACCTGCTGCGTTTCAAGCACAATTCCAGCAGGCTTGTCAAAACCCCGATGAGTCTTTGGAAGATTTTTGGAGAACGACTGTTGATTCTGGCGGTAAAAGCATTCAAGGCTTGCCAAGTCTCATTTATTGAAGAGCAAGTTATTAGTCGTTTCTGCCAAGGGCTGCTTGACAAAGATGCAGGGCATCATGTTTGTATGCAGTCCCCGTCTAGTGTTCAAGGGGCAATTCAAATTGTAAGAAAGTACCAAACAGGTGTACAAGGCCATGCATGGTAAGGCAAGAAAGGATACTAGGCGGCGCGATGATGAAAATCGCGATGTTTTTGCCGTTGAAGCTACATCGGTTAGCTCATCTTCCACCCTGGATAACCTTACTGTAATGAGGGTGATCCAACAGTTGGAACAGAAGTTTGATAAGGTTATTGGTTTAGGAAACCATAAGAAAGGGCCTTATGTGTGTTTCAATTGTGGGAAGGAGGGACATTTTAGAAGAAATTGTCCTGATCTAGGGTCTGGGAAATAGACTGTTTGTGGTAAGGAATGACCATTCTATTTTTGAGGTGGCTTATGGGGTTCCGGGAGCCACAATGGCAATTGGGGAGGTGGTTGAAGGAGCTGTCTCGGTATATTAATGTGTTGCAACACTGTCCAGGTTGTGAGCATGGGAAAGGGGTGCAGTTGGCCACAAGTCCGGACGACGTGGGTCATTGTATCGAGTACCATGTGGGAACACATCTGGATAAATTGCGTTGTGGTAGGTGTATATATTAATAACAGAGCCCAGAATAATTGGGGGTCCTTCTTGAGGAGGTAGATGATACTGTGCATCTAGTCAAGGAATACAGACCAGAAATTGACATTAAATAATATTCTGGGGGGACTAGGCGAAGCACAACTGTCTACTGGTCTGAAGGTTTAACGCCATCTGACGCCAATGATGTGAATGGCAAGCCAGGCCTTGCAACAAAAGTCTCTGATGGAGAGAATTTACCAAAGAGTGTAACAGTCACCAAGGGGTAAATTTGATAGCTTGATATGTCATCACTGGGCTAGGCACCAATTGTAAGGTTGAGGCAAGTTAGTGCCT